GCCACGCTTCCCAAGCGGCACACTATCCAGTGCGCCACCGGGCTGGCCCAATATTTTGGCTTTTAAAATACAGTGCATGTTTTTGGCACATTTCTACCTATGGAATCACCTTTGTACAAAGTAAACTATCCTTTGGTTTTGAATTTTTTAATTTTTTTTTTCCTTTTTGTCTTTTTTACTGACTGGTAACGGGATCGCAATCCTCGGTGTCGCGCCCGTACCGGGGACCGGCAACGGGATCGCAACCCTCAGTGTTGTGCCCGCACCACGCTCAGCCAGTGAGCGGGAACCGGTCTCCACATGGGATCCGAACCCTTGGCGGGAGCGCCGCCACACTCCCAAGTGGCGTACTCTCCAGTGCGCCACCGGGCCAGCCCTTGAATTTTTAAATTTAAATTTTATTTTAATTTAAATTTTTTAAAGAATTTTAATTTTTAAGCATTCCCATGAGTATATATTCTTTGTCCAGGAGACCATTTTCTTAGTTTAAATCTGTGTTATCATGCTTGACAGTGTCTTAATTTTCACAATGTGCTTTTTTTAAATATCAAAATATCAGGAGAACAGCTCATGAAACTTGACTATCAAGATTTAAAAATAGTGATTATCATTTTCTATTAAAGAGGTTATTCTTTTCTGATAAAACTTAAGCAATTTCTTTCAGCGTGGCATTGAATTTTGTATAAACTCTGAACTTTTCTGTCAGTTGAACCTGGGGTTCAAAAGAAAAATTAAAACTTGTCAAGTAAGCATTTTAAAACTTTAGGAAACATTTACTTTTTAAAAAATTGCTTTTCTTCTTGAATAGGAACTTCTGATTTTCTGTCAATAGAGCATCAGCTTGATTTTTTCGGAAAAGCAAAAAATTTATACCAACCGTATCCACATAAGATTGCATGCATTCGTGAAATCAGTAGCTAAGATCAGGAATTCAGCTTCTCTGTGGAACAGAACAGATTTAATTGACCTATCCAGAGTAAAGGAACATTACTAAATGATAAGATCCATGTTCTAACTAACCATACATAATCACTGCAAATATTTCTTTATTTTTCCAGCAATTCATTGAAACCTCGGTTGTAAGATTTAGATCATAATTGCAGCATCGTTTTCCTAGCTCTGGCTCTGCTGGATGTAGCAAAATCACTTGTAGGAAAAAACCCTTTCCATAGTTCCATTCCTAGTTCTCTCTCCCCACTGTTGAGTTCATTCTAAATCCCAGGGTCAAAATTGCTGATAGACTTTTCAGCATTTATCAAGATGTGCAAAGAAGTGTGAAATGAAATCTGAGCAGCTATAGCTACACTCCTAGACAAATATTAAGGAAGAACTTAAGTATCCCATGTGTTAAGAAAACTGAGTGACTGAATCCATTCTAACAATATATGTGGATATGCAATAGATTTAAATAGTCTATGAACCCCGTGTATTGGCCAACGAAGTTAAGTTGTGAAATTATGAACTAAACTTACCATAGTATGAGATTTCAGATCTTAATAGTATTATGTGTACAATATAAAAGTACAATACTCTGCATTCTTTTTTTTTTTAATCTAGCTTATGATTGATACACCTACCAGTCCAATTACCAGTGGACTTCCATTATTCTTTGTGATAACAGTAACTGCCATTAAGCAGGTATGAAATACTTTATTGTTATTTTCCCCCAAGTCATTAAGAGGTTGCTAAATTTTTTGCCCCAAAATGACATTTATTGTTGTGAAAATAATTTCCATAAGCAACTAATTTGCTTGATATATTGTGAAACTAAACTAAATTAGCCACTTTGTTATATTTCACGTACCTAGTAACTCATAGAATAATTAACATTGTTAAAATATGTTGTTCCCTTGACACACATGAAGCATCCAGAAACAAGTATTGTATATGTACAGACCAGTTTATACATGAAACAAATTATTTATTATAATCATCTTAGGAGTGTTTGGTGTTATTTTAAGGAAATACAGTTCAAAAAGGATATGTTTATAGGGAACATTTGTGAATAAAAATTGTATAGTGCTTTCCTACTTTTTACGACTTTCTCTGGTGAAGTTTGTTTTTATGTAAAGTAGCACCCCAAGGGAAATAGCTTCAACCAAATTATAAATTGACATTAGAAACAAGGTACAGACAAACAAGATTATTGGATAAACATACCATGTAAGAAATATGTTCATAAAAATGTCATGTCCATATAGCTACCACTTCTCAAAAAACTTTGACAGGGTCTCAGTTGTACAGAGATGATCCCTTCCACTTGAGAGAGAGATAATTGAATTTTCTTGTGTAAATGTGATAAATTTTAATTTTATAAGATGTATAAATTGGCATGGAAATAAAATTGACAAACATTTTACAATTCTGTGATGAAATATATTTTTTATTACTTACGTAAGGATAAGAGAAACCTAGGGATTAACAATTACGTTATGCATCTATTGTGTCAGAATATTAGCCACAGCTCTCACTAAGTTTCATTTCCCTTTCTTCATTCTTCTACTGGAGACTAGAATTTGTGTGTATAAGTCAATAAGCATCTAAATCACTTGATACAATTACATATTTACTTGGTTTTACAAATGTCATTTATTTCATCAAAGTAGCATATATTTGTCCCTGGGACTTCTTTTCTGTATATACTTTCCTCTTAGGTGATTTCATCCATTTCAGTGGCTTCAATCTGTATGTTGATGGTTTGCAATTTTATATCTATGCTGGAAATATTCTTGAACTTTAAACACACATATACAACTGTTTGCACAACATTTCTACTTAGTCTTCTTAAACAGAACTCTTGATTTTTTTTTTCCCACCTTCTGAAACTGCTACTCTCACTATTCCCCAGTATTAAATGGTACTACCATCCATCCACTGCAAACCTTGGCATCATCATCTTTTGACTGTCCCAACCTTCAATGTCTACCTCATTAATCCAAGCTACCATTATCCCTTGCCTGGACAATTGCATTAGTCTGCTAATAGTTCTCTTACATCCACTCTTGCCCTCCTGCAGTTTCACACAGCAGCCAGATTGATCTCTTAAAATCAGATCATAATACCCTCCCACTTAAAACTGTTCAGTAGCTTCCCATCATACTTTGACCCAAATACAAGTCTTTAAGGTGATCTACAAAGATATACAATACAGTCTAGTCCTTGGTTCTTTCTTCTACTTAATTTCCTACCATTTTTCCTTTTACTCACTGTGCTCCCACCACACTCCTTGCCTTGTCCTCAAACACAGTAAAGTCTTTAAGGTGATCTACAAAGATATACAATACAGTCTAGTCCTTGGTTCTTTCTTCTACTTAATTTCCTATCATTTTTCCTTTTACTCACTGTGCTCCCACCACACTCCTTGCCTTGTCCTCAAACACAGTAAGCATGCTTCTATCTCAAGGCTTTATGACTTACTGTACTCTCTTCCTGGAAAGTTCTTCCAGCAGATAATTGCATGGCTCAATCCCTCAATTTATTTAGATACTTAAACTTTGATTTTCACTGGCCACCATGCCACTCTGTCATTTCATGCCCTGCCTGGCCTTTTTTTCTTTGTATCATTTGTCACTGCCTGTTGTTCTGTTGAATAAATGTTTGTTTATTAGTTTATCTCTCACTCTCATGCAAATGTTTAGCTGTATGTGTGCCACAGACTTTGTTTTATATAGGAGTTTATTTGCAGTGACCAGACAAGACCACACACACATTGGGCCTTTAAAAGATGTTTAATAGTTGAATAAATGAATGAATAAACTTATCGAATATTTTTTAAAGTGATGTAAAATGTGTCAATGCCTTTTGCCCTTATCTCTCAATATATATTTGGCCAAATATGGGTTACATTTAATTGGAATGTTATACCATTAACTGAATTGGAAAAAATGCTGGTGAATTTATATCTGCAAAATAAGAGTTTAATATAAATTGACAACCTATCTCTTTTCAAAATGGGTTAAATAAAGATGAATAAAATCTAAAGGTAGGAAGCAGGAAGCTTATACCTCAAACCTTTTTTAGTATGGTTATTGAAGTTGATTGCTAAATTTAGATGAGAACTTCTTGACAACTGAGGCAAAAGGGGAAATATATGAAAGGTCATGTAATTTTTAAAGAGAAAATTTGATCTATAAGGATTTTCTCCCTTTTTTTTTTTGGTACTCAGCTTTCTCTTTTGCAACAGCTGTTCTCAAGTTTTATTCATTTAATAAACACAAAAATATACTTTCATGTATTCAGATTTATGTGCATTACTATAGATCAACAGAACAAATTTTGGAAAAAATTGTAAAAGTTAAAGTTGTCATGTTCCAATCTTCCCTTCTTTTCTTCCCTTTTAGTGTGCCTTTGTCCTTTGCATTTTTGTCAAAATAGTAAAAGACTCTATTATCAGTTACTTAACACTTGAATATGAATAAGGTTGTTAGTTCATTTTTGACTTCTCCCAACCATATTTACATATTAAGTCTTCTCTCCAGTTGTGTAATGCAAGTTATAGTGCTCTTGTAAATAAGAGTCTTTGCCTTCTATGAGCTTAAAACCCATGAAGTTGGAAGATAAGACCAAATACAAAAGTAATTATAGTTTAATAGAGTAGTAGTAATTTCCAGTGAGCTGTAGCTTTTCAGAGAAGGCGTGGAACACTATCTGGATGATGAAGGAAGGTTTTGTGGAGGAAATATTATTAAGATGAGTCTTTCAATATGGGTAAAGTGACAATTGATAAAGAAGGTGAGGTAGAAACAAACAACTTGGGCAAAGTCTCAAAGGCAAGACCTGTTTTGGAGCATTACAAATCTGATCCTGTAAAGAAAATACTAAGAAATAATACTAGAAATGTATGTTGGTACTAAATGAATGGAGCTGGAAGATTCTCGATATAAGCATTGAGAATCATTGAAGGGGTTTTAAGAAGAATAGTGAATTAAAACAATGTTTTGTGAAGATTAATCTGGTAATATGTTGTAGGATGAATTAGAATTTGTGAAGTTGTGTGAAAAAGATAGCATTTGAATTATTATTGCTATACTATTAAGGCCACCTGACTATAAAAGGAAGTGTGCTTTTTGACAGTTTCGGAAAAGATGTTTTGACTCTCAAATTTCTCTAAGATGACATTGCAGCTTAAATGGGGCCATCATAATTTAGGTATCTTAAGAGTGCTTTCCAAAAAGAATTTGTGAAGTTGTGTGAAAAAGATAGCATTTGAATTATTATTGCTATACTATTAAGGCCACCTGACTATAAAAGGAAGTGTGCTTTTTGACAGTTTCGGAAAAGATGTTTTGACTCTCAAATTTCTCTAAGATGACATTGCAGCTTAAATGGGGCCAACATAATTTAGGTATCTTAAGAGTGCTTTCCAAAAAGGTTTCATCCTGAAAAAAAATAGACCTTTAAGACAATATTTAATATTTTGCTTTATAGTGTTTTAATTTTTTTTTTTTTTTTTGTCTTTTGTCTTTTTCCGTGTCCGGCAACGGATCGCAACCCTCAGTGTTGCCCCCA